TTCAAGTGCTATCATCTAAAAAAATCTCCTATCTTAATAGTTGTGTCAAATTTTATTCCAACTTACAGAGGAAGAAAATCAAGGACCAGAGGAAAGATTTTAACTTGCTCAACCTGGTGCAGCAGATTAATTCTAGAAACTAGGTCTCCGGCCTCCCAGGCCAATGCTATTTGCTAAATGAGAGGCCACCAGCAAAAGTAATTCTTATCGCCTAAGGACTTAAGGGCATGCATACCTTTTCTTCCCAAAGGTCATCAGTTTGTGTTGCTGCCAGTCTCTTACTGGAGCCAAACATTTGTATTCAGATAATAACCTCTGATTGATTTCTGTACTGGATATCCAAATATACTGGCATTATGGGAGGTGGAATGCACCCCAATAAGAAGCATATATTCCCAACTTTGGTGAAATAAAGCGGCTCAGTGATAGTACCTAGGATGAGCTAGAATGGCTCAAAGTTACAACGCTCCACCCTGCCCCCAGCCCAACTTCTCTACCTCCTTTCCGTAATAGGAGAAAGGATGTGAGAAAAATCAGCAAACATCTGACGATGACCTAACTACACTCTCACCCATCCATCTGCTCAGCAGACTGCATGGCAAGAGCTCTCCTTGGAAGTGGTTAAAAGAGAACAACACCTTGCAAAGGGAAATAAACTTAAACGTTAAAACTTGACTTTCCTTGTCCTTTCACAAGTAATTACATTCACAGTATATGCATGGCACTGACAGATTGTCTCTCCTCTGATTTGGAAATCCTAAATTCCCAACCAAGGTAGTTCAAGTCTGCCTTGATAGAAAAAACCAAAGAGCACACTTTCAGACCAAATCAGTATTTAACTCCATGCCTGAAAAATGGAACGGCATAGTGAGGATGCCAAAATGTTTGACATTGAAAATAAAACATCAAGCGCACCTCACAGCGGTCACTTCTAAGACATTTTTGTCTATTTTATACAGCTTGAAACTTGCATTTATCAGATTTAAGGATTTTTTTTTCTTAAACAGCTTTACTGCTAGCTCCAGGCATTTTCCCCCTTTCCAGTTCAAAGGCCTCAGGAAGTATAATAGAATATGGGGTGGGGGAGAGGGGGCAGAGAGCTCAATCTGGATTAAAAATCCTAGATCAGTTATTCCATATCTGTAGGACTGTGGGCAACTTAGGTAATTTTATTTCCAGAATGATTGTGAGGATTAAATGAATAATGTAAGCATGGGGGGGGGGCTCATAATAGGTACTCAGAAAACGTTCCTACTTCTTCCTAAAGCAGAATGACTATGTTCAACCTCAGGGCAAGAAGGAAAAAAAACTGGAAAGAAATCGACTCAAATTATTCACACACCCAAGTAGTTCTCAGTATCAGACATAATACTGCCCTAAACCATCACTTTTTAATCCGTCTTTTTGAATCTGTTTGCACAGCAGCCTGATATCTGATATCACACAGAGATACAGCAGCTAGGATAGAGGGCTTAAAATTATCCTCTCCTCTGACATTCAAAGAACGAATCCTTGCGACAGCTCCTTGACAAAGGCATTAGGGAACTTCTATTTTATTTGTAAACAATGACTTCAAGCCAAAAATTAGTGAATGATACGCAATGTCTAATGTAGAAAAAGGTGTTCTTGGACAGAGACCATCAATTCTTCACCCCACCCCAAAATAAACTTCATAGCATCATCTTTGAAAATAAAGGGCAGAGGAGGGTGTATGTGTATGTACGTATATTTCCAACATTTAGGCAATGTTTAATACGATGAAGAGCCACATGGATATTTAATTATAAATGTGTAGGACCCAAAAAATACATACACACCAATGTTACCTGTAAAATATGTGACATACACACCCTAAAGGAATAAAAGTAGGTGACCGAGTTTATGAATTACTCCTATCGAACAGTTTAACAAAAACATCACACACGTATGCACAAAGGCACATCACTTTACTGCCCTATCTGTAAGGTAGGTACAAAGATGCAAACAGTTACATGTATACAAGGAGTAATGTTTTCCCAGAAATACATTGTACAACTACTCTGACAGTGCTGAAGACAAGCTCAAGAAGGAGAGAGACTCTCCTTAGGAAGATTAAGCTCCTAAGATTTGGATCCAATTTTTACTAGTCTTTAATTACAGGAAGTTCAGGAATTCAAATCTATTTCAAAACTTTTCCTACAAAAATTACTATTTTTTTAAAGTTAACCCCTCCACTGATCTTAATTCCACAATCTCTCTCTTCTTTCCTCTTTCCATTCATATCTGTTAGTTTTTTAGAGTCATACAATGTAACTTAGACTGATGAAGGGGTAAGGAAACAGTCTGAGTAGGTTTGGTCTCAAAATTTTCCAGAAATAGATGGACTTGTCATTTTCATTTTTATTTACTCCTTCCCAATGCTTTAAGTATTCTAGAGCTTGAGAGTGTAATTGTTTTCCATGTCTGAAATGTCTCATTAATTATTGACGTAAACCATACTTACAATGAGGTGCTTGTATGCTTTTCCTGTACAGTACTACTATCCAGTTTTCCTCCCAAATCACATATATGATGTTTATCATATAAGGAAATAAGTCTAGTATCAATAATGCCGATATGATTCCCTGTGTCACAGGGTAAAGAATTTTCTCCACATATGTACTTCAAAATATGCCACCTAAAATTTATCCTTCTACCTTGATCTCTAGAATTAAATGGTTTGAGTTGACTACTTAAGCAATTCACAAAGAAAACCAAAGTTGAGAGCATCACATGTATAACTTCAGGGAAAAAAAAAATTATCTTAAGAGAAATCACCTTAACTCTGGACTTCCGTTAGCGCATAAAGAGGACACCTTTTAATTCCTCTTGTAGGTTTCCAAATAGCAGCTAGAGCTGACTAGGGGGAGTTACAATAAACACATTAACGTCCAAGTGCATCACCAACAAGGCAGTCCCCAAGCTGAGACTTCTCCAAAAGCTTTGTCTCTATTCCAAAAAGATCAGCCTGGTATTTTTTGGTTTCGTTTTTTGTTGTGAGGTGCTTAAATATCATCAACAATTAAGAACCACATCCAGCAATTGTGTGTGACACACAGTAGAGTAAAAGTAACCACAACAACCAACCATTGCCCCAAGGAGTTTGTGATGCAGAATCATAAATGTGACATACTAAGTCTGTGACTGCTAGACTTAAGAGTAACACAAATCCACCATGCTAATGATGAAACATTTTTCTAAAGATTAATTCATATCATGTGTTATTAATCAACAGCATAACTGAAATCTCAGGCAAAACACGCTATCCCAATTGAGCAGAACTTAATTGCATTATTGTGATCTGGTTTTCCTGTGTCACTGGCCCTTCCATTTCCAGTATACACGTACATACACACAGCACTACCGGATGAAAAGACAGAAAGCCCAGAGCTAGGAGGTAAGAACCATCTGTCTGGAAGGAAGAGGATTTTGAATAAAAACGTTTGTCTCTGGAAAGACAGGTCAAGTATGCACCCAGGCTGCCTTGAGAAGTAATTAAGCCTATGCTGTTTCATTTCAGTGTGTCCCATCTTGCACAACGACGGGAGCAGCTGTGGGAGATCACAGAAGATGCAAAGCAAGACAGGCGGCCTCATCTATCTCCCGACAGCCACACCAGACTTTCCGGGTGGCGTGAAAAAAGCTTTTGCCCTCTGTTGTCTCGAAGAGCACAAAGCTAACCTAGCCTCCAGAACGTTATACCCCCTGTCAAACCTGCCCTTTTAAAAGGCCTGAAGAAAGGCAAATTTAAATGTCCCGGTGTTCAGACTCAGAACCCTTCCCAAAGTTAGGAGGTTACACACCAAACACCCGCAGGCACACGCAAATTTGACTGCCTTGAGCACAAGGTTCTCTTGCTGCCTAGCCTCGTAGAGTTTAGAGGTAACTAGCTAAGAAAAGGTAAATGTACAAGTGTAAGGAATAGGAACGCGTCGGATCTTGCCGGTTTCCCTTCCAACATCCCTTTAAGGAGGCTGGGTCACTAAAAATCGGAAGTCTGGGGACCAGCTGTAGTACAGACTCTGGCTGGGTCGAGAGGGAGGCCGCCACACCCTCCGGAGCTCACAGCACTGACAAGCTGTGGTTGGGAGGGGCTCAGAAACTTAGTCCCAGCAGAAGGGAGAAAGAAGGGAGTCTTCAGTGTCTTGGATTTAAAAAGCTAAAAGCAGACTTCAAGAGGGAGCCGGGGATTTTGCTGTGTGTGCCGGGGATGGGGGGGGGG